ATATAACCACATATCAATGGACCCAGTAAACCAGAATAAATAATATATAATGGTACAAATACTAACAAATAAAATAAGCATATGACGATACAAACACATATGAATGAAGATAATAAACACATCAAAGCATACAAATACGTGTATACATAAAAAAAAAACAAGTTTGTATTGATACAAACACATACGATGACATAAAAGCATCTATTAAATACAAACATATAAACACACGCTGAATATATCATAATAACGATCAAACTACACGTTAAATAAATAATTAACTACTGGTATAATGACACAAGTACCTGTACATAACAATATTATGATAAATACCTACAAATAAAATACATATAAGTATACTGTATAATGATACAAGATACAAGATAAAATTTATTGTCTTCAGTATAAAACAAATTAAATAAGATAATACAAATTAAATACATTATATAAGTATACTGTATAATGATACAAGATACAGATAAAATTTATTGTCTCCAGTACAAAACGAATGAAATAAGATAATATAGATATATAAACTATAATGATACAAGTACAAATACAGTACAATGATACAAGCTATAGGTAGAATTAATAATGGTGAAATTTCAATTAATAAAGCGTCTCAGCTTTATGATATTCCACGATCCACAATATAGGACAAACTGAACAAGTGCCGCCCAGTAACTGGGAAAAACGGTCCCAACTCCATGTTATCAACCGCGGAGGAAGAGGTAGGTTTACACAAATGTTTTTATACATAATACTTATTAAAAATATATGTCTTAATAGGACTAATATTAGTTTTTTATTTTATTTTAGATGTTAGTGAAATGGCTACTTGACATGGCAAAAATTGGCTACCCACTAACCAAGGACCAGCGAAAGGACATGGTTAAGAGAATTAAGCAAAAGGACATGAGAGAATTATTGATGAAGATAAACGAGTGACTCCCTTAAAGAATAACTGACCAGGCAGAACTTGGATCAAACTCTTTTTTAAACGCCATCCGCAGTTGAGCATCTCGAAAAAGAGGGTGCCATCGTGGGTTGGGATAATATTGCCAATTGGTTTTGAAAACATATTTGGAGGACCACCAGCTGATTGGCGCCATGTCTGACCCACGACGGATATTTAATGCTGACGAGAGCGGATTTCCACTCAGCGTGACATTGTCGAGGGTGATTGCACAACTTGGGCCAAGGATTATTCCAAGTCTCCAACTCAACCAAGTCCCAAATTACGTTGCTTGGCTGTTGCAATGCAGCCGGGTTTTATGTACTGTACCACCAATGTTAGTTTTCCCGGGCCAACGATTTGTATACAACCCACTGTCCGGTGCCCTCGAAGGCTCCTTACTAGGAAGGAGTTCTAACGGAGTTAGGGTAGCTAGTTAAAAAACCTAAAGGGGGCGATACAAACATCGTGATAGAAAATAGTGCCCCGACGGAGATAGGATATGTATTGAGTATTTAAGGATATCACAATTTGGCCAAATTACTTCCACACAACTATTCAGAAATAAATTCCCAACGTAGCAATTGGTTATTCAAGCGTGTTTACAACAAATGTTTCGTTGTTTTTTAAGAATAAAAGGAAACCTTCGCTATTTTTTAGTTAACATGTTTGTTTTATTCAGGTTTTAATATATAAAGGTAGGCAAGTCAAAAATAATATATTTGTAGCGCCTAATTAAAATATATGGTCCAAATTATGATGTATTCTATTGTACTGGAGCTAGGCTTGGCTCATACGGGTTGAGGGCACCCTCATGAATTTTACCGCGGCTACACGCGGGGTAAACAATGTTTACAATGAGGAAGTACTTTGCACTGGCGAATTGTGACCACTGGCAGTGTGTGATGTGTCGCTACAATTATAATATCTAATACAAAGGGCGCATTGATCTCACTTTCTGGTAGATGTAATGCGACTAGATGGCGTCCCTTTGAACCATTATGAACAGCTGGTCATGCGGGGGAAAAAAATTGTACGATATGACCTTTTCATTCTGTAGTTAACCAATTGTTTTTCGGTAAGTTTTTAATAATTTTTAAATAATTTTATTAACGATAAATTACTCGTATAAGGTGACCAATGTTTTTAGAGTTGATAGTACGAAAGTACAGGCATTTTTTGACATTCACGTTACACTAGTAAATAGTTATTATTTTAGTTTTTTTGGGGAGTCAATTTGGGAGAATTTACGATAATAAATACATTCCATAATGGATCGGTTCAAGATTTGTAATTGCTGTGAACGGCAGTAGACGAGTCCATTTTCCGGAATAGGGGTAAATTTATAAAAATCATTTGTAAATTTGTATTTGGATTTGGATTCTGTTCATGCTTTCATAATAGTTTATCAATGATTATAATTAAAATTATTAGAATTTTTAATTGTTTTTACAAGTTTTTCTTTCAAATTAAAAAAAATATATGTATTTTTTTTATTTTTATTTTTTTTTAATTAAAAGCAATTCAGTTTTTTTTTTAATAATTTGTAGTGTACTATTTTAATTAAATTATTTTCAAAAGAGCAGTTTGGTTTCTACTATTTTTTATCTGTTTTAATTTAATGACAGTCAAAAGTGATTTGAAAAAAATTAAGACAATGTTTTATTTTACAGTTGGCAAACTTCCTAAAAAATCAGTGACAAACAGTATTGCTGCTTTTAGAGAAAACAAACACAGAGACTCATTAATGTAAGTTTATTTCATTTTTGCTACAGTATCCTACAAAACAACATATGTTGCGATGTCAAGCCAAAACGGTTGGAAGTCGCTAAGATGATTTTAAGATATAAAGGCAAAACAATAGACAAGGTCAAATTTGCTCATTTTGGTGTTTCATTAAAAACATGTATATTAAATATCTATTAGAATAGGATTCAAATAATATTTTTCACATTTAAGTACCAAAAATACTGTAAAACGTGATTTTAGTTAGACACTCGAACACGGAAGTATGAAAAACGAAGGCAAATCATCGTTTAAAATACTCACGAAATTACTGTTTTTTCAATCGTGTTCCGGGGTCAAACTCGTGTCAAGTTTGATATCGTTGGAAAGCTTAGAATGTCAGCTACAATTTTGATTGGTCAGTTCATCCTCGCAAATTGTTTAATCAATCAAAACAGTCGTTTTGTTACTGTAAACAATTCGGAAGTGGCCTAGCAACAAACGGAAACACGCATGCTGATTGGTCTAATCCAGTCAGCTGACCATTTTT